GTTTTTTTTTAGGATGTTTTTTAGAATAGTTTAGGACAGAGGTCCAATTTCATGTATTTATGTTTAGATATCAAATTGTCCTTGCCTTGTTTTGTAAAAAAAGTTCTTCCTTTCCCCACTGACCAGTAATGTCAACTGTCATTTGTCCAAGTTTCCATGTATGAATGGATCTGTTCCAGGTCTTTCCATTGTGTTTTGCTAGTCTATTTTGCTCCCCTTGCTCTTATTTCCACATTAGAGCTTTACAGTAAGTCTTGAAATCTGGCAGAGCAAGTCCACCCACCTTATTTCCCTCTGGCTATTCTTCACCCTTTGTTCTTTCAAATAAAATTTTAGAAGTACTTTAATCAAATTCTACCTAAAACTCCTGCTGACATTTTCATTGGGATGATATCAAGCTTTAGATCGACAGAAAAAGTTGAAATATGCTTACAATATTATATCAATCTAGGCATGAACATAGTGACCAATATCTCATTTGTTTAGATCTATTTTGGCTTTCAAGAAAAAAACTTTCCATAAAGTTTGGTATCTCTCTCTCTCTTTCTCTCTCTCTCTCTATCTCTCTCTCTCTCACACACACACACATTTGTAGGAACCTCATCTTATGCTGTTTTGTTATAACTAAGTTCCATTTTTTTATAATTAATTTGTTATTAATTTAGAAAAATGCACTTATTTTTTCTGAGGTTCCTAAACATTCCTAGTTTTAAATTTTTATTCTCAGACTCTTTTTCTACATAAAAATTTTTTATCACGGAGGGTCTTCGTGCGCCTGCGCCCGGGGTGAGAGGCGCCTTCTCGGTACTTTTTTTTTTCTCTGACCCCACTGCGGCTGTCTGGTCAGCGCTTGCGCAGAAGACTCAGCGCAGAGGCGGCAGGGTGGGCCAGGAGGGGGCTGAGTGGGCTTACTTGAGAGGCCCAAGATCGAGGGTCTCTTCGCTTCCCCCCGCCTCGAATCTGTCTAAAGCCACCGGGAAAACGGTGGGAAATTCACCGTCGCCATTGCCAGAAAGAGCGATCTGTGGCTTTGTTTTTTTCCTGAGTTCCCAATTTGGTTTCAAAATGGGGCAGAGGCATTACTTGTCTACCTCCTGATAACTATAGTGATTGGTTATCTACTCTTATTTGGAATTAACATGATGAGCACCTCTCCACTCAACTCCACTCATACAATCACAGATAACTATGCTAAGAACCAACAGCAGAAGAAATACCAAGAAGAGGCCATCCCAGCATTGAGACATTCCTAGTAGTGAAGTAAACCAAAGGTTCTTCCTTTCAGCCAAAGAATTGTACACCAAAACCTGAGTCATGTGTAAGCACACTGAAACCAAGCTTTTGTGTACACATTTTGGAATATTTTGGTCATGATTCTATTAACTGTCTTAGTTATACCTCATTTTGAAAAATGAAAATTGATCTCATATTAAGTTCAATTATAATAATGGAAATGTTTTAAAATGAGTTATTAATGGACAGAGTAAAATGCATTACTGCATTACTCTATAGCAAAAAAAATTTTTTTTATCACAATGAGACTTTTGGCTTTTCTTTTCCTGTCTCTATACCTTGTCTTATTTCTTCTCATCTTATTACATTGGCTGGGATTTCTTTTTAGCACAGTCAACTAGAACATGAGATAGCGGGAATCTTTCTGATTTCTGCCTTTAGTTTCATGCAGATACCTTATCAGAATAAAGACTTTTCCTACAAATTGTTTTTCCAGTGCTGGAGATTCTTTCTTATTTATTTATTTGCCAGTCCTGGGGCTTGAATTCAGGGCCTGGTCAATGTCTCTGAGCTTCCTTTGCTCAAGGTTAGCTCTCTACCACTTGAGCCACAAGACCACTTCCAGCCTTTTCGGTTTATGTAGTACTGAGAAATCAAACCTGAGGCTTCATATATGCTAAGCAAGCACTCTACCACTAAGCCACATTCCCAGCCCCTTTATTTATTTTTTAACCCAAGGTTTCACACATGCTAGTCAAGCACTGTTCCAATGAGCTAATTCCCCAACAAGAAAGAATGTTCCCGTTACTAGTTAACTGAGTGCCTTTTGTCACTATTAGAATAAGCTGAATGCAATTGAATTTTTTTTTCCATATCCATTGTTAAAAACATACACATTTTCTAGTTTATCAAGCTGGTAAATTATACTGCTTTCAAACACTGAAACCATCTTATATATCCTAAGATAAAACTTACAACTCAGGACTTCTCAGAGCTCTGATGGACTCAGGCCATAGACTCAGAACTTTTCACGTGGCAAATCAGAAGTGAATTGACAGCAAAGTAAGAGCTATCTACTTTAATCTGCATAATATCCCTCTTACTGTTTACCTCAAGATTCCCCATGGTATAATTCTGAGTTCATCCATTACTTTCCGAGCTCTCAAACCAGACACTACTGATAGTATTCCTTTAATAGCTGACAAGTGCTTTACTATACATAGCCCATCTACCATTTAGAATATATGCACTTAAAAAAAAATAGCAACTAACAAACACACAATAAATCCTTCCTTGAAGTACTTAAAATATCCTTGTGGATGAAACTAAAAAAAAAAATTGTTGAATAGTAATGCATCATGCTTAGAAAAAGAGACATCTGGACATACCTTTTCTAGAGAGCCAAAGTTTAACTCTTTGTTCACTAACACTGTACAGTCATTCTAAATTATACTCCACATTTGTCTGCCCTGTTAACAGTATTTTTTTGGGGGGGGGGGTTGGTCATGGGGCTTGAACTCTGGGCCTGAGTGCTGTCCCTCAGCTCTTCAGCTCAAGGATAGTGCTCTACCACTTGAGCTACAGTGCCACTTCCAGTTTTCTGGTGGTTTATTGGAGATAAGAGTTTCACGGACTTTCCTGCCAGGGCTGGCTTTGAACCACGATCCTCAGATCTCAGCTTCCTGAGTAGCTAGGATTACAGGCGTGAGCCACTGGCGCCCGGCCTGTTAACAGTATTTTAATCATACTTTATGCATTTCTTGACATTAGTAAAACTTAACTCTGTTGTTAGGAATATGAGTATGGAATTATGACAGAGATACAATGCAGGGAATGTAGATACAATTGTAGCAGACCTAAACTGTGACACTGAACAAGGCATTAATAAGAAAGACAGAAAGCAGGGGAGGGAGGTAATCACCTTATCTTTTCACTCCAAAATTCTAAAGTAATCCTGGGTAGTAGAGATACATTTGTAGCAGAAATACTATGAAATGTTACAACTTGTCCAAATTAGAGCCTGCCTACTTCTCCATTGTGGAGCTTTTCTATACCTTCTAGGAGCTGACTTCATCACTGCCTCTCATCTCTAGAGGAGACACAGTCTACTGTAGTAGCTAAAAACACAGATTCTGGAGCCAGGATATCTGGATTCAAATCCCAGCTTGGCACTTAAGAGGTACACAACTAATGACGAGTTACTTGATCTCACTAGCCCTCAGTTTCCTTATTTATATCATGAGAATAAACATGTCTCGGGGCTGAGAAGGTGGCTCAGTGGTAGCGTGCTTGCCTTGCATTCATGAGGCCCTGAGTTCGATTCCTCCGCACCACATAAGCAAAAAGAAAAAAGTCAATCACTCTAGCATAAATGTGCTGTGCTGCAGTATTTCTCATTTGGGTTTGTACTGTTACCGTTAAGTGCTCCTCTGGAGGAAGAAAGGCAGAACAGAGTAAAGGATCTCGGCACTGCATCCCGCTGGTCATTAGACAGAGGGGAAGAGTTAGGAGAAGAGCATGGGAGAGTGTCTCGCATTCTTCACAGCTCATGTGAAACACACAAACAAGAACTGGCAATGTAATCAGAATAGCAGGAATCTGGGGGTATATGTGGTGCTGTTTTCAAATAATTTCAAGGCTGCCTAAACTGGACATGAATTTTTTTTAATTACAAATATTTTTTAAAGAAGCATTTAAGTTTATGGATCAACCAGGCAACTGGTTGCTCATGTAATCCTAGCTACTCAGAAGGCTGAGATCTGAGGATCTTGGTTCAAAGCCAGCCCAAATAGGAAAGCCCACGAGGGATTCTTATCTCCAGTCAAGCACACACACACAAAAAAGCCAGAAATGGAGCTGTGGCTCAAGTGGTAGAGCACTAGCCTTGAGCAAAAAGTTCAGGGACAGCGCCCAGCGCGGAGTTCAAGCCTCAGGACCGTGTAGGGAGGCATGGGTGGCTAGGTGTCAGTAAGAAAGAATTTTTTAAACTTAAGATTCCTTCTCCCTCTAAAATCTTGATAATCCTGGCATGAGTCACCAAGATGTTAAAACGTAAGTGTGAGTCACGCACGCAGGCTCTGCCAGAGGCATGGCTTCTTCACTCCTGGCAGAGTCTGGCACACCACCACAGATGGAGGTGAGGAATTCTGGCCCTCGGGTTATGTATTCCGCAGCTCACAGCAACAATAACTTTTTTTGCTTCCCAACCCAAGCACATTAGTAGACTGATTCCAGACTTCTTCCGTGACCGACAACTATCATTAAGGCACAAATCCCGACTAGGACTTGGCAAAAAAAATAAAATAAAGTGTGCATGCAACTTAGTCCTAGGGCGGTCCTTCCCGGGCCGGCTGGGAGGAGGACGGGCAGGGGGCCGGCACTGGCACCGGGCAGGGAGGTCGGGTGGAGTCCGCACAGGGTCAAGAGCAGGGGACAAAAGCCGCACCAGGAGGCCAGCAGGACGGTCCCAGCAGAGCCCGGCGCCGGGGTCGGCCCGGGATGCAAGCAGGCGCTGCAGGGCGCTGGCTGGGGGGCCGCGGGCACCCCGGGGGTCCTCCCTGCCCGCCGCCGCCGGGGCCGGGGTCGGGGGGAAGCCCAGCCCAGCCGGGGCGGGACACCTGCTGGGCTCCCCGCCGGGTGCGGGGGTCCAGCCTCCCGCCACCCCGGCCGGTCCCACCCTCCCCCGCCCCGCCGGGCCCGCCGGGGTCGCCGCCATCGCGGGCCGCGCGGGAGGCGGCGGAGGGACCGCGCGGGGCGCCCCTTTTTACCTGAGACACCAGCGGGAGCAGCGTCTGCTCTACCGAGCGCGTTTTGATCTCGAGTCCCGAGTCGAAGGAGAAGCCTGAAACGCGAGAGTTGTGGAGTCCTCCCGCACCGCCACCGCTAGCCGGGCAGGGACCGGCGGCCATGGTCCTCCGCCCGCAGCTCCGCCAGCGCTCCGCACCACCACCGCGTGCCCGCCAACCAGCCCGCGGGTCTGCCGAGGCCGCTCGGCACCGCGCAGCCGAGGCCCCGCCCCGCGGAGGGAAGGCCCCGCCCCCGGCCAGCCCCGCCCCCCGTGGCACCGCCGTGGGCCCCGCCCTGCCAGCTCCTGCTTGGGGTCCACTCCCCGAAGACCCCCTCCCCCGCCCCCCCCCTCCCCTGGCCAAACTCGTTGGCACACCTCACCCCTCTCTGTCCTAGGTCGGAAGCACCTCACCTGGCCTTTAGGGAAAAACAATTGAGGGTCTATCAGGGTCACCTGTCCTCTAACAAGAAGACAATGGTCTCCAGCAAGGATTCCAATCCTCGGGGGGGGGGGGGGGGGGGGGGGGGCGGGGCGCGGAAGAAAGGTGACTTGTCAATTCCAAGTGCCTGCAAAGATTTTTCCAGAAGTGGTGCTAGGGTTGAAACTGGTAGAGCAGAACCTGAGTCAAGTCTGTGGGGGTGGGACCTCTATCCAGGGCTGGGAATTCAACCTGTAATCCTTTTCCTGGGGCTGAATTGAACTGAAAAGGGAGCATTTGATAATCATGTACTAAATATCTAGACACTCAGCAAAAAAGCAGCGCATATTTCAGACTGTTTTCCCATTTTTCTCCAAAAGGAAATTAAAGCTGAAAACGCTTTGCCAAATGCCCAAAACCATGACCTTTTAAAACTACTTCTAAAGTTACTTTCTAGTGTGGGGCACAGGAGTTTTTTAGTAAGAGTTCACTGAATGAGAAGATCAGTGTATATTTCTGACTGGAGTGGCCTGAACTCATAGAGAGTCTGTGATGTGAGAGACTGCCAGCGCTCCTTACCCTCAGGTTCCAAAGCAAAGCCACAAGAAGGCTGTCAGGACTTGCGCCCTGTGAAGGAGGTCTAGATTCATGCAGAAATATTTTGTGAAGTACTCCCTGCCAAGGAGAATCTATCAGGGTAGCTGCTTAGTCCGTCCTCACATCTTACAGGATCACACCAGACTTTGATTTTGAGAGCTCTCTCCCAGGTGCCGTTGAAATGTGCTTTCCAGGGCTTTCGCTAATCAGTTCAGAGATACACTGGCACACAAGATGGCCAGCTGAGGCTTGTTTCCTTCATTGGACATGACCTTCTTGAAATTGTACTCTTCCAATTTTTACTACTCAGCCACTCACTTTATGCTTCCAATGGACCACAAGGTCTCCTTCCCCATTGTTCCAGCCTCCATCACAGAGCCTCTGGTACCCAGCATCCCCTCCCTAGATATACCCTCCTGCACATATATCAGACCTCCTGCAGCATATCAGACCTGAGAGACAGATGGATGTATGGCTGAAGACTGGATTTCTTGTACAGGCTTTGCGGCTCATTTATGTACTCCCAGATCAGGATGGTTGTCATTCAAAGCTGGACCAGACAAAAAGTGAGACCTCACACAACGAACAAGCTAGGTGTGGAGGTGCAAGCCTGTAATTCCAGTTAAACAAGAGATAGAGGTAGAAACACTGTAGTCCTAAGGCTGGCCTCTGGGCAAAAAACAAGATCCTATCTAAAAAAAAAAAAAAAAAGCCTACAACAAAGAAGATAGAAGTCAACAAGTGTAAGTTTCTGAGCCCAAATTCTAGTAACCCTCCCCCTCCACACAAAAAAAAATTCTCAAGAAACAAGAGGCTGAGTTCACCACTTGATACATTCAATGCTAGCAATTTTATTTCAAAATATAAATATTTTGCATTTTACAAAGAAGTTACATCAGAAGGTTGTCAAATCAAGTTAAAGCTAAGAAACAGCATTTGTGTAGAATAAAGACTATTTATTGCCATATCCAAATGTTCTTTTTCACTTTCAAGCCATCCTTCCGTTGCCAGAGGATGCAGAGAAGATACATTTTCAACAAGTTCAATAATTACAACTCTATATCCAATCTGTGTTTCACCATCAAGTTGTATTTGAAATGCACTCCAGTCACCTGCATTAGTGGCACTGCAAAGGACAGGGAAGGGTTTCCTCTGAGACAGCTACAATAAAAGTTACAATTGTGGGTCACTACAATACAAAATCCCATTTCACAATAAACCAAAACAACATTGAAGATTTACTTTCCACACCTTTCCTTGTAATATACAAAAGTGGAAGAGAAGACCACGTATAAAGAACTTTGGACTTGGAGTCAGAAGTTCTGTAACTGAATTCTGGCTCCATCCTTTTGTGGCATGAACTTAGGGGAAGAAATCATGAGAGTAAAGAAAAGAGAAGAGTGAGATGGGGGCCAATAGAGAGGAAGAAAAAAAAATACAAGGGGAAAGGAGGGAACAAAATGAAATAAAAGGGGGCAAAAAGAACAAAATAAAAGTATTTTCAGTGCTGTGCAATGACTAATACTGCCTACCTCACAGGGCCATTCCCAAAGGTGTCTGAAAGCTATAAAGTGCCATACAAAAGCATTATTAAATGTAATGTCACTATATCACCACTGTATTTGCATATTACTTCATCCTTGAAGACCTTGCAAAGTTAAGCACAAATACTGATTTTACACACCATTGGTGGAAAAGAACCTTTATACACTAAATATAGCTGGGACAGCAAGCTTTCTGTCTAGTATCTTACTAATCTGTTGGGATTTATTACAGATCACACAGTATCACAGTAATAAACTCACCGTCTGGTACCTCCACTATGCAAACTTATTAACCTATTATTTCCCAAAGGATCACCGTCCCATGAGATGTTTGAAAAAAGGAATAGAGTACAATCTAAGGTCAAAAAGTCCTTGTCTCTCTTATAAACTCACAACTTATCATAGCATGGCAAAAAAAATAAATAAATAAACTCTCTTGTAAGTATGGAGAAAGGAAGTAAACTCAGCATTCCTCAACTTTAATTGACCATGGAGTTTCTTCTCATACACATTTTGTTTCTCTTACAACATCTATTAATGACTCTTGGAACTACTGCCCTAAGAAATAAATCTTGTCAAAAGCTGCTCAACTGTAAGGAAAAGGGAAAGAAGTTAGAACATGGGCTTAGAGAAAATGAATCCACGTTGAGTTCTGTGGGTTAACTAGCCCTAAGTATTTGACACACTACTTGAACCTATCAGTTTGTTTTCTTCTCTAGAAAATGATATGATCACCTAATTACGTAAGGCCCATTCTAACACAGAACTTCTATGACTCTTGTAGAAAGAACATCCCAATTTAAAATTCTCTTGATTACTTTCAAACTTTCAGAAAACTATACAGAGTTTTCAGTTATGTCTCTTTTTTTTTTTTTGCAGTCTCTCCATAAGTTAATGAAATAAAAATGCTTTCAGGGAAAAATATGTAGACAAGACATTACGAAAATAAATAAAAAACATGTGTTCTTGGCAGGAGCTAGCATTTGGGAGCACATTGCCAGAGTGATCCCACTGCAAAAAAGGTACTCAGAGTCCTTCCACAGAACTGTTGGGAGGGCCTTTAAAGACCTTCAAAAGAGGCTGTAAGATCAGATTCCGATGTTTTGTTTCCCATAAATTCTAAGGTCTCATGGTCTAGATAGTGCACCTAAATTAATTTGTTCTCATTGGATTTTTAGAGCTTGGATTTGTATTTCATCCCAGCACTGATTCTACCAGAACACATGTAACCAAAGTGGGAACTACAAGGACAAGGACGACCTGATATGGGTTCATGATAAGGGCACCTTTAGCCCTGGCCCAAGATTTCATCTGCAAGCCCTTCACCACTTCCAGAGCTTCAGTTTGCTAAAATACCAGGTCTCCACGTAACATGCGCTATCTCCCCAGAACCAAGAACTAGCTCCACTAGGCTCAGCAGCCAAGAGGAGAGAGCAGCTAACAACCTCTAGTGGACAGAAGGGCCAGGAAACCTTACAATTTTAACAATATCTGAGATTGGCATTGAAGGCACCCTTAGAGCGGTCACCTTCAGGAACAGCAGATAGAATTCAAACAGGACTTACACAATAGGGAACCTGAAGGTCAGACATCTTGTTTTCTTTTAGACAAGAGAGAATCCTGAAGTGTGCTTCGCTTTTATCTTTCCCTAACACCACTCCCTTTGTTTACGACTGAATACTGAATGCCGTCTTGAAACTAATCTTTAATGAATCTGTAAAACACCAATCTTCTGTGACATATTTCTGTACTCCGGTTTTTATTGAAGCTACTCTTATTTCATAAACTCATTATCTGTTTCTAAGGAAACTTCCTCTTTCTGATTCAAATTCTGATGGAATCTCTTCAGGGAAAATATCTTTGAAACTTGAGCTTATGAGCCTGCTTTTTTATACACGAAAACACTATGAACGACCATGCTGTACCTGAGGATACATGCTGGCCGGCCCCCCAATTCTCAACTTCCAGGATGGTAGACATCCTAGTCTTTAGGCTTCACAGCAACAGCAAAACAGTTCAAGTTTCCTGATCAGGACTGAGGCACCTCTGCTCCTAGTATTTCAGGGTAGGATGACATCACTGCTGCTAATTTAAGCAGCACTAAAGTACTCTCTTACAGCAGAGTTCCGCTCAAAAAATTTGGTATTAATACAAATAATTTTCCCACCCACAGTCACCCATTAGCTCAAAATTTAATTTTTTGCAGTATTACTTTAAAAAGCATTTGAGTGGAAAGTAATTTGTATATGCAGACTAACTCATAGTATTTTCCTCTTATGAGAGTGTGTGCTGGCAACAGCTGTAAACTTACCAGTGTAGTTTTTTTTTTAAAAAAAAAAACAACTACCTTGATTTCTTAACGCTTTTAATAGAAATCTTTTTTAAATTTAGCATTGCACATGATGTGGCTAATATATGAGCTGACAGAGGTCCTTGAGAATGATCTCCTAAATACTTCCTGGCATGGTGCCCTGCCCACAGTTTAGCAAACTCGCAAGAAATGTGTTAATGAACAAATAGATCAAGAGTAGAGTTACTGAATGGTTGTACCTCATACTTGAAAAGAGCAGGTTGTAAATTCTGAACACAAGTAAGAAAACTTCATGTAGTACACTATATAATAACGGCCCAAAGGAATCATGCAGCCTTTTCTTAAGTAAGACTCATGGAGTTTTTCTTAAGTAGTTCAAGTTTGATTATTATTAATTTCCTAGTGAGATGTTTTAGGGAGAAAAAATCAACTTTTAAACATTTTCTGGAAAGCAATTCTTGGACACAAATCCCTTGTACTCCATATTCCCTGGGGAGCACAGGAAAAGAATGTATTTTAAAAATGGAGAGGCCTCAGCACAAGGAGACAAGACTCTAGTTCCAGCCCTAGCATTAGCTGCAGAACGAGTCTTTATTCATAACAAATGGATAGCAACAAATATTCTAGATCATAGTACTGGAGAAACTGCCAAAAACATTAAAAGAAATGCTTCATGTTGGTAAACTATGATGTTAGAAAGATCTGAGACAAGAGCTTAGTAGTCCAACTTTGCATTGCTCACTTTTCTGAACCTTATTTTCCCAGCTACGTGAAACTGTTGTAAAATTATAAAATGTGGTCTGAAAGCTGATAGGAAGACATTGTGCCAAGGGGCTATACAAAGTGCTGGTTATTGTGATGTCAGAGGAAACTTAATTACTGCATGAATTTTATCATATTGTTATTTTTCCTAGCAGCTTAATAAATATTTTAATTCAGCATGGTTAGTCATGTTTAGACTTTTGGCAATATTATAATGAGTGACATGAGGAAAGAAGAAAGGAAGAAAGGAAGGGAAGGAAGGAAGGAAGGAAGGAAGGAAGGAAGGAAGGAAGGAAGGAAGGAAGGAAGGAAGGAAGGAAGGAAGGAAGGGAGGGAGGAAGGAAGGAAGGAAGGAAGGTAGGAAGGAAGGAGAGGGAGTGCTCTGATCTCTTTGTTTCCTCTGGTTGCAGCACACAGCTGATACACAAATAAGCCATCCCATCTGTCCACCTAAGATGTGTTCTTCCTCAAAGAGGGGAAGACACATTATCCGTGTCATTATTAAACAACTACATAGTCAAAACTGAAAGCCCTCTTCATTGAAGAGTGACTGTCATAGAAAAGTTTAAGAACAGACCTCTTAAACAGGAGAAAATTATACTAAATATACTTTTAACAACAGATAGTTTAGAGTTCTTGAAATAACTTTATAAATACATATTATCGTAATAGAGATAAAGCAAAAAAATTTCAAGCCATGGTACCAGTGTATAAACTTAAAATTTTCAAGTCATCCTAGCTTGCTTAAGTGTGCAAAACCACATTTCTGAACCCTTAAGTTGTGTTTTAAAATGCAAAGCAGCCCAAAGCAAGTTGTCTCTTGTTCAGGTGCTCTGCCTGAAGGCCAGGAAGCTTCTGCTTCTTTCCTGGGTACAGTCAGGCCCAGCTGACAAGAGGCCTCCTCAGAGGGCAACTCACTGTCGAGGTGGAACTTCCCAGGGAGCAAATACTGTGAAGCCCATCAATCTGCTGAAGATTTCAGATCTTCAGAGATATCACGGAAAGTCCTAAAAGAACGAAAGACATGTGATTAGTTTTGTATTGGGAGCAGGGGAAGAGAAGGGGCAATAAAGCACAGAGGGAGTCAGGAAAGAGGGAGAGTGGAAAGGGCAAGAATGTACTATTAACATACAATTTTTTACTATCTTTGAGAGCTTGAAGAGATTATACATACGGTCACTATTTTCTTACCCAAGTCTGCTAGCTGCCTCTCATTCTTTAGTAGCAAGAATCCCAGCTTTTTGCTGAGTCCATTATCTCCCATGCAAGAATACATGCCAGCTACTTTGAAACCATACTTGAGCATGTAACTAAGTGCTGGCTAAGGAGATTTAAGTAGAAGCATTGTGCAACTTCAGGGCAGCTCCTTAAAGAGAAGGGCAATACTCCTTGTCTCTTCTGCCATATTACTGGCTAGAAAGTAGTTATGGTTATATGACAAAAACACCTTGGATAAGAGTGAGTCCATAAGTTTTATTAACAAAACAGAAATGTTAACCAGCAGAGTCTAAACTGAAGAATGGGGGCCAGGCAGCAGAAATGAAGTAGGTAGATCTTTTGCCAAATGACTTGTCCTGTTTCTGCCTCATGTGAGACAAATTGCTAATTGGCAGGTAGTATCTTGACTGATAGGGCAGTCTGCTGCACACTACAAGGTGCCTAGCTCAGGCCAGAGGTAACTAACCTGTCTCCAAAACATAATTTTACATTCCTGAACTGCAATGTCATAGCCAGCTTAAAACTGAATTGGTAGTCAAGTAGACAACCCAGAATTTATCACTGAACATAAGTTCCAACATTCATCTTAAGGGAAAGAGCAGTGCATCAGGGCTGGAGTGCATCAGGGCTGGAGTACATAAGGCTGGAGAAAGGGTGGGCCCAGGGCTTGGAGTTTGGAACAGTCATACTAGCCTTGAACTACCCCGTGACTTATTTTATCCACACGAGAAATAAACTTCTTGACTTTATTCCACAATTGTTTGGAGTTCCAGATAGTAGGTTTGGGGTTTGTTTTTTGGTTATTTACAGCCAATCATATTTCAAATGATAAAATGAAGGAGTTTATTACCATTCCTTAAGTAAAAGTTAAACTGGGCCTGGGAAGGTGGCTCAGTGGTAGAGTGCTTGGCTTGCATGCATGAAGCCCTGGGTTCGATTCCTCAGTACTACAAAAGCAGAAAAAGTGGTGGAGCACTAGCCTTGATCTGAAGAGCCAAGGGACAATGCCCAGGCCCAGAGTTCAGGCTCCATGACCAACAAAAAACAAAAAAAACAAAAATGAAAGAATGCACAAATTATCTAAAACACCCTGAAACACTTTTATCAAGATAATTAATTTTCAAGTCTTCAAATTACATTAGTTTGTGGTCATATTACCACAGTATGTTGTACCTTATATATTTTTTTCTCATAGCTAAATACAGTACATTTTGTTTTCATATCAATAACAAATAATGGTAATGGTAAACAAATTGCTTATATTTTTCATGAGAAATAGAATTAAAGCATAATATAAGGTAAGAGTTCTAAAACTTCAGAAAACACTTTATAGTGGCAAAAAACAAGATGGCAGAGTCTGGATTAGGTACACGCTTACACAGGTTAGATAGGACATTGACAAGTTAAAAGTCTAACCTTTTAGCACAATGTAGAAAGTACTCAAGGTCAAAAGGAACACAAGTACATTGTCCAAAAAGAAATGTACTCATTACCTGACTTATGTAACTATAATCTCTCTGTGCATCATCTTTGTAGTAGAATACAGATAAAATGTAACAGATTTCCTTCATAGATGCTCAATTGTCTCAAAAGCTTCTTTGGAGACGGTATCCTAAGCCCCTTGTGTCTCTGCACAAGACTAGCACAGCTCTACTCTCCAAGGAACAACTCTAAGAATTAGACAGTTATTATCTATGGAATAAAACTGAAAAAGTATAAGCCCTTTCAAAGGTAGGATATTACTAAACTCACCTGGTTTAAAAATGTGCTGACTGGTTTAAGAATTGGAATGAATGTTGTTTTCTTAATTATCTTTATGTTCTGCGGAAAAAAAAAATCCAAAATAAAGATGTGTGTGTGTGTTGCATGTGTGGTATATATGTGTATGTATGTCTAGCTACCAACCATTTCTCAATAATAGCATAATTGACATTTTAGTATACTTGAAGATATTCTGCAGCCTACAAGGCCTTTATGCAACAGAGTTTTGATGTACCTAGACATGACCAAGTATCTGGGGGGGATGAGGGGAGGGAGGGGAAGGAGGAGGAAGAATCAGCACTTCTATCACTGCCAAAACCATTTCCCTAGATATGCATTTATGTATTTTTCACAGGCTCATCCAAGTTTCCATTTTTACATCTGTTTACAATCTGGCCACAACCTCTCTCCAACAATATGAATTTCAGGTCGCACTCAATTCTGAAAGTTCTTGAAAAATTAATATAATCCATAACCCCAAATTGTCCAATCTACAAAGTATATTTCCTAACTTATCCTTTTACATCTTTTTAAATTTCTAAGGTACTTACAAGCTTCAGTCTATACTCATCTCCTCTAAATTATGAATGAATATTCTGTCCCAGAGCAAAGATGCATGAAATAAGATTAACACTGTGGTTGACTGTAGTGAACTTAGTGACTGCTTTCTGTTGACAAGTAAGCTTAGCTGTAACTCTGAAATTCAAATCTACTGTTCAATATTGCTCTAGGCCAAGAAAGCCTGGAAATTTTTAGGAGAAAGAAAATAAAGTGAAACACACTTTAAAAAACCAGTTACTAAGAATTTTCCTTCTCATGCTATTTCTAGTTGCCTGGGTACCGTGGTGGTGGTGGTGGTGGTGGTGGTGGTGATATGTCAATGTGCATATAGCGGTAGGGAGGAGTTGAAACCTTCTGAAAACAAATTTCATGATCTAGAAGTACAGAAATGATTTGTTTCGGGCCTATTCAAGAAGCATAGCTCTAACTGGTCAACAAGGCTCATAAAACACTCTGGATTTGGAAGAAACAAATAGATTATCACTGGTTCCAAAGTATTTAATATCCTACAGAGTCCATTTAATTACAGTATTTGTTCCCAAACCATAAAGATTATTATTATGGTACTAAGAGCTACAGGAGAACAAGAAGTATGGAATAGAACCATATGTATGGGGGGGGGGGCCTGAAAAGAAGATCATTGTTCATATTTCTTACATCCTCAAAGATCAACAGGGATCTTCTATCCTTTGTTCCTTGAAAATGTCACGGCATCTGATTCCTCCAAAGTTACGAGACTTTTCCAAATTCATTTTATTCCCATCTCCTTCCTTTATGTGGATGTTTAAGTATTTTCTAATTTAACAATTTATGATTCGTGGAGTCCCAGCTTCACAGAGATGCAAAGGAAATAGCAGACTAATTTAACTCACCTAGTTAGTTATGCACGGCTGAGCATGCATTTCTTAGCCTTGCACTGCACACAGGTATAAACTCTGGTGAGAGAGCACTTGCTATGACTGGCTAGGTACATCTCTTCTTTCCAACAAGTCTAGAATGAAGTTCTAAGACTCGAACCTTTTAAAAAATTAGCCTCAAGGGTATATTGCAAAATCTTATTTTTTTTTTTCACCTGACCCACTTTTGGTTTTACTAAGCTATATACCCATCAGATTTTCTGTACACCAAACACCACTGAGGGATGACACAGCAATACAAAACAAGTGAAACAAAGTTCCTAATTCCTGGGAGCTTCTCCATTAGTGGGAACAAAAGGAAACTAAACATGCACTGATAATATATATATATTAAATATATATACATATATATATATTAGTTTGAACTGGAGAGTGTTAACATTCTATGTGGATACTCAGAAAGGGCTTCCAGCTACTCCAGAGAGCTTCAGCAATGTTTCTCAGAAGAATATTTTCATTATATTCCACAAAACTAGTTTAAATTAGAAAGGGGGTGATAACTACAGAGTGGACAACTTGTGCAACAGTCACATTGTCTTCAGGGAATTAAACCATGTTCTGCTTTAAATCAACCAAAACCAATTCCTGGCAGAAATAAAATGCCAGGCAGGCAGTACAAAGACACGAATCTGGAGAAACAGACAGAAAGAAGGCATGGAATGGGCTAAAGCAAAGTTTCCAACTTTATCTTGAAGGTCATGCGAAGTCACTGTGGGAATTTTAAGCAGCAGGAGAACATAATATTTATGCTCCAGGACAACCAGAGAGGCTGCGCTGTAGAGAATAGGTTGGGGGGAAGCAAGACTAAATAGGGGAGGAGCCAAGAAGAGAAGAAGCTGCTGAAGAAATCCCAGCATGGGTCATAGTACAGAGGATAAAGAGGGCCAGGGTCTGGAAGTGTTTAACAGAATTTTTAGTCCTACAGACAGTGAATCCATACACATCCTTCCCAAATCTCTCTCTCTCTCTCTCTCTTACCTTATATCATACACCCTCAAAGAACATGATATGCCATGGCTTCATTAATAAGTTATTTATTTTACAAAGAACATTTTTGATTAAACTCCAGCATTTAATTGTGAAATGTATTCAGTTAGATTAAGATAACCCTTCTAAAAACCAGCAATGAGTTACTAATAACTCAGAAAGAAAAGATGAGTTCCTCCAGGATCATTCCAGTTGTCACCTTCAGTGCTATCAAGTGTGACAGAGAACAAAGGGAACCATTACTTAGGAGAGGAGCCCTCCTGGAAGAGGGTATGGGATAGACTCTTGCTGCTTTCAGGTTGCCTTCCGCTTTTTTAAGAGTTTTCAGTAGGAGAAAAGTAAATATTCTCATATCATGTCTTCTTATCCTGACCAAAAAAAAAAAAAATCTCTAAGATGGATAATTACAAAAATGTTTCTGCCCTTCCCTACAAAGAGTCCAAGTATAACAAAGAACCGAAAAGGTGAGAGTTACCATTACTGATTCAAGGCTAAGACAGTTTCAACCTCAATGCTGTGCTTTATCTACAACAGTCACCACTGTCCAAATACTGGATCATCTC